GGACTGGCCATCCGCGTACCTGCAAATATTTATGCAACCTAAATGCGCGTATTTACAAAATCTTGGAAACCAGCACATCGAACAAGCGACTGGTTAACATAACATAACATACAAAGGGTATAAAAATATAGGATAACAGGTTAAAATAGTTTGAATAGAGAAGTCAAAAGTAAATGTACTCGAAAATGTAGATGATTATATGGTCGTGAGGGTATTAGCAAACCTGACTGAGCGCATTTATATTTAAGTGACAATGTAAAGGGGGGAAGTACTCTTAGAGCGCCAAAAAAATGACTTTTTCGCAATTTATTTTTTGGAAATGATATCATCCATATATAGGTCGACGTTTGAAAAATTAAAAAAAATTACATTTCTACATTATAAATGTTGTTGTTTAATTGACCGCAAATCGAAAACATCATTATACCCTGAAATTTGTAACACCAAGCAGGAAATATCGGAGACCCTATAAAGTATATACATATATAAATGATCAGCATAATGAACTTAGTCGATTTTGCCATGTCCGCCTGGCTGGCACCACTATAGCATAAAGCTGCTATACAAACTGAATGATCGAAATCAAGAGCTTGTATGGAAAATTTTTCCATTTGATGAAATATCTTCACAAAATTTGGAATAGATTGTTATCTAATCATACAAACTGAACGATCGGAAGGAAGTGCTTGTAAGGAACCGTTTGTATATGTGAAGGGTATTATAGTTTCGGTGCAACCGAAGTTAACGTTTTTTCTTTTTGTCCGTGGTCTATCTAAAGTAGTTTTTTATGCCGCTAAAATAAAAGCTGGCTGGAGAAAATCGGTTTACTATATTTTCCGAAATCCTTTACGTCAAGTTAAAAACCGTGGTTTCGCGTTTCGCTTTTTTAAGTTTGCGGTTTTAGGTCTTTCGGCTCGGTCCCGTCTATTTTCAAGTGGCATATGTATCTTCCATCAAAATAACGATCGGCTTTTGAAATTTGCAATATTTTCTTCAACAATATTCATATCGAATAAAACAAATCGATTTTTTAAAATGTCTTCTGGTACTTTCCGCTTAAAGAAAGACAAGTAAGGCAAGACAAAGTTCGGGTGCAACCGAATATTTTATACTCTCGAAATTTCCGACTAGGGAACTAACCAAAATATATTAAATTTAATACAAGAAAAATTTATATTGATATAGAAAAATATCAACCAGAGAATCGGGAATCATTGTTTGAGGGATATGGGTCTGGTTTGATGCATTACATTTTGGTAATAGTCTTAATACAGTTACAATTACTTAATACAGAAAAAAACTTATAGGTATTATTTAAGTCTCCAACAATAATCAGCTAGCATTCCTGCACCCATTTACCCTGATAGCGTTTCTCCACTAAGGAAATGTCCTGATGGAACCTCTCTAATTCGTCACACACAACACCCAAAATTTCCGGAAAGAAATCTAGATGAGTGTCTAGTAAATGTATTTTTAAGGGCCTATTACACCTCAAAGCTTTATATGACATTATAAGTTCATTTATGAAGTCTTTGTAATTTTCCGATTTATGGTTTGCTAGAAATATTTAGACAACGTTCACAAAAGATTTCCAGTCGAGCTTTTCCTTTCAATTTTCTTCAAAGCTCTTATCCTTTATCAGTTCCTGTATTTGTGGAGGTCCAGGATAATTTCTCTTTCAGATATACAATAGCACACGCTGTTCGCCACGATGTGGTCTGGGTCTGTTGGCCGAAAACAAGTTTGGTTACTGGGTCGTGTTTTTGAACTTGGTTGTAATGCCCTTTGTTTGAGTCAAACAAAAATAACAATCACTTACTTGCTCCTTTGGTTCGGTACAAATCCTTGACATGCAAATGTTAAAACACTTTTGTGGCAAACATCTAATATAATGATATAATAAAATAATTTTAAATTGTAAAACTTATAGTTAGGAAATTTACTGCTCTACAAAAATGGTCACTTATTTTTTTTTTTATTAATATTATTTTTTCATTGATGTTTAACGATGGATGTCTCGTATACGGCCAACTTAATCGAAAAATTATACCAGACGTTATTATCTTTTAAACGGTTAGATTTACGAAAAAAGGGTAAGAGGCTATTTTGTAGGGCATTCAATTTCATACAAAATCTATATTTTTCAGAGTACAAGCGAAAAAAAATAGTTTTCTCCGCCCCACCATTATGTATATGTGTATTTTGTTCCCATGAAACTAAGATAGCACTTTTCGACAAAGAAAGGGGAGAAATAATGGAATGTGAATATTAATCAGATGGCTAGAGCTTTGACATTTCTTCAAAAAACATTGTGCTGCTTGAAATTTTATAGACTATTTCAGAAGAATTTGAAAATAATAAAAAAGAAAGAAATTCATAGTAGGTTGAAACTTTCGGAAACGAAAGAAAAACTAACGAACATCAAAGAAAAATAATTATTTTTATAAAATTAAATTAAAATATAATTAAAATTATAATTTTCGGGCGATCTTAGGTCGGTTTATCACGATTTCCGGAAAGTTATATGGCAATAACGTAGGTACTGAAAGCAACTACAACATTTGTATATATACTTTTTACACAACCTCAAACTTTATTTAAAAAATTAGAATAACCAAGTTTTTGGGTTTTTTATTTTTATCTTGTACAAAAAAAATTTCTTTAACGAAATTTGGAGTAAATTTACCTTCTTATGTCTCAAATACACTGTATTTTTTTAAAATTAAAATATTTATTTTCTCCTCTTTTTTACCTACTATGATTGTTTTTGTTTTTGAAAATTATCTATCCGGATCTATTACTATAACTTTTTCAAACGTAAAGCGGTAAGGCAAGCGTATCAACGAAAGTTACACTAAACAAATTCTTAAAAGTCGCTAAACGGTTTAAAAAACTCTCTGACAGAATTTGAAGCATTAATATAAATATGTTTTGTTAAAAGTGACATGTAGGTGAAATAGTATACAATATATATTTTTTCATTTATTTATTAATAAATCTAGCTGCAGTTTTGGTTGGTTTCACTAGAACAGGATGAACAAGATTCTCTACATAAAGTTAGTTATCAAATAACGGCAAAATATATCTTAAGAACATGATTAGTATACCATAAAAAATAACTACCAGTAATCTTTACGGAGTATAAATATAGAAAGAGGCTCGAAACCTCCAAAAATTCAATCCCCAAACAAAAACTTCCCAATATAAAAAAATCCCCAAACACAAAATGTTGTCATTGCTCAATTTGTATATATGATTTTGTTTGTAACTAGCTCAGTTATCATTTTTCATTTTTTTTTAAAGCTCAAAACTAAATTCCAACTACTAACAAGTAAGGAAGGGCTAAGTTCGGATGTAACCGAACATTTTATACTCTCGCAAAGGCAAATATTATAGTATACTCGTTTGAGATTTCTTTGTGGATTGACTGATATTTTCGGTAGAAGGTCAACTATAGGCACTGGGGTCCACATATTTAGTACTTAGGGGCTTAAACAGTTTTGGTTCAATTTAGATAATTTTTGGTCACAAGGTGGCATACTTTAAACGTATTATTCACGCTAAGTTTTACCCCGATATAATCATTGTTGCTTGATTTGCATAGTGGAAAGTGAAAGAATCAGATGGAATTTAAAATAGTGTTATATGGGAAATAGGCGTGGTTGTAGTCCGATTTCGCCTATTTTCGCACTAAAACAAATACGAAAAGAACGTTATGCACCGAGTTTGGTTGAAATCGGTTAAGCAGATCCCAAGATATGGGTTTTCACCTAAAAGTGGGCTGTGCCACGCCCACTGACTAATTTTGAACGCGGTTCCTATAAAGTCATCTCATACCATCTCAGAGATAAAATGTAATGTCTCTGGCGTGTTTAGTGCTTGATTTATCGCGCATTTAGTAGTTTTTAACAGTACCGTTATATCGGGAGTGGGCGGAGTTGCCACCCGATTTCAACTATTTTCACACCGTCAATTGAAGTGCTAAAAACATTTGCTTCCAGTGCATTTTGTTATTATAGCATTAGCGGTTTAGATATGCACATTAAACCTATTAGAGGCGGGACCACGCCCACTTAAAAAAAAATTTAACTGCAGATGCCCCTCCCTAATGTGATCCTATAACAGTCTTGTATTTTATTGCGGAGCTTAGTTATGGCAATTTATTTGTTTTTGATTATTGGCGTTTTGTGGGCGTGGCAGTGGTCCGATTACGCCCATCTGCAATACCACCCGTCTCACGGTACCAAGAAACATGTCTACCAAGTTTCATAAAGATATCTCCATTTTTACTCAAGTTAGAGCTTGCACGGACGGACGGACGGACAGTCACCCGGATTTCAACTAGTCTCTTCATCCTGATCATTTATATATATATAACCCTATATCTAACTCGATTAGTTTTAGGTGATACAAACAACCGTTAGGTGAACAAAACTATTATACTCTGTAGCAACAGGTTGCGAGAATATAAAAATAGTCAGCCTATTTATAAATAATTGTATTTGACTGTGAGAGTTAGTTTAATAGTGAGAAGAGACTGGCGCCCTGCGTTGTAAGAGTTGTACAGCGGACTCTTTTTCTACGGGAAATATCCAATTTTCGAGAATATCCCACGGTACGGACGGTAAAAGCAGGCGGCAAAAGCGGTTGTTCATTTACATTGCGCTCTCATAAGAAAGGTCATATCAGCTGATACGGTCTACCGCTTTTCGTCGGTCACTAACTGAAGCATTAGGAACATCGCGTTTACAACAGCGTTATGTCTTTGGAACATGTAATACGGTTATGCCTCTTTAGGTTTTCGCACAAAAGTCGTTAGAAATACCAACATAAAAATTACAATATAAAATAAAAATAAACGAAAAGAGCATGAAAAGAGATGAGGTAGGAAGATACGTATCTAGTATGTATGTTTAAAGAAATAAATATCTGGCGCCAAGCAACTTCTAACCTGTAAAAGTAACGGAAAATAAAAATGGAAAATTAATGAAATTACCGACTTATGTTTTCTACACACTATCATTTTGCACATTTTTATTTAGAAAATAGCATAGTTTCACATTAACAATTTGTTAGACAGACAATAATTAGCTTCACTTATAGATTTTAACACCGCCTCTTCTTTCGGAACGATCGGCAAATGGCGCTCCTCTTCTTGCGCTTACTCTTTGACATTTTACAAGCCTATTGAGAAGAGAAATATTTTTTTTTTGTATTGATTTGCAACTATTAACAATTTATGTACCTGACGCATGTAACGCCGTTTACACTCAGGCGACAATGAGCACCATCTACGCGCACCCTTTTGAACCGTCTCCTGAGGGCTGAGCCCACAATGTTTACGTCTGTAGGCGCGTAGGAAATTCAAATAAGCATTCGCTGTCACTGGACCGGGTTTCATGCAACGTTTACGCTTTCTACCACATCTACGTCTGCGTGGTCGCGACCGACGGCGACAACTACGACGACGCTTTGGCCGACGCTTTCTTCGGCAGCTGGATCGTTTACGCCTCTTCGGCCGGCAACTACGGCGCTTTCGTCGTTTAGGCCGGCATGAGCGACGCCTGCGCTTTGGACGACAGCTGCGACGTTTCTTGCGCCGAGGTCTTTTACAAGCCTGTACACATTCATATGTATATTTAAGTAGTAGTTAGTTATAGATTGGTTCGTTTGTTTACGTACCATTGCCCGATATTTGGCTTTCTGTTTACAGGAGAGTCGATTCCAAGCCTTCGCACCTTGTCGCACTGTCTCCACTGCCGACATACCACAGCATTTCTTTCTGAATTCTCGCAGAAAATTTAAGTAACCATTGCTAGTGATAGGGCCCGGTCGCATGCAACGACTCATGATTTGTATACAATTAAAAAATAGATTTTAACGAACCAAAGCAGTAAAATTTGACTAAAAAATTTTGTATCGTTTTAATAAAATTTCTTTTTACAAAAAATGTAATTCAATTGACTGTAATTTTCAGATGTCGAGTATTTCAAAGCTTGCGAAGATTATTTTTAACATTGAGTGAGCGTTGTAAGTGAAAGCAAGGTCTATGTGGCCCCAACGTTCATAGATGATGTGGCCCCTCTTCGTTTATCCGGTTGATGTTAACATAAAAGGTACACTGACATTTTGAGGAAGTTCTTAGGTTTTTGTATATGTATTCGTGCAGCAAATATCAGTTATGAAGAAATTAAATATATTTCCTTTAAAATAAAATATAAATATATATTTACGTATTACGTATAAGTATACACACAAATGCATCTTTATACTCTTGCAATATGTTGAGTAGTAGTAGTGAGTATTATAGTTTTGTTCACCTAACTGTTGTTTGTATCAACTAAAACTAAGCGAGATCGGTTGCTTGTCTGTCTGTCCACTGCCCATCTGTCCGGCCGTAAATCCGTGCAACCGTAGGAAATATGGACGAAACTTGGTATACGTGTTCCTTGGCATCACAAAAAATTCGGTGCTGTAAATGCCACGCCCACAAAATGTTTGGTACAGTGTATAGCAGGAGGGGGGAATCTGTGGCATAAAAAGTGGACGTGGCCCCGCCTCCAAATAAGATGAATGTACATATCTAATAAATTACTAAATGTATATTAACCAAATTCACTCAAGAACATCTTTTCGGCAGATACTCTGACTATTTAAATTGTAAAAGCGGATAATAACCCACCCCGTCCTCATTTAACGATAATGTTGAAATTTATTTAAAGTACGATATATCACCAAGTAAATATGTCAGAATCATTTAATTTCACATCCTATATTGTATATATGAGCTTCATAGAAGCCGGTATAAAAATTAACCAGGAACGTGGCACTGCCCACCTTAAAAAATATAGCTCAGGAACTACTTAAGCAATTATAACAAAATTTCGTGATCAACATTATATATAGCAATTTTTAAATTCAATCTGATTCTATAGAAGAAGAAGAATGCAGGTCATTGCTTTTAAACGGTCTCTATGAATTTTTTAGAGAAAATATTTGTCCTATTATTGAAGTGTCTTATGGAAGATTTCAGGCATTAAACGCTTTATTCAGCTACAATTATTTTAAGCTGCATAATTGCTGAAGGCAGAAAAACTTGGAGTTGTGTTTCAGCCAAAGCCACTAACCCTTTTTATACCCTGTACAGGGTATATTAAGTTTGCCACAATGTTTGTAACTTTCAAAAGGAATCCTCGGAGACCCTATATACACTTTTTAATATAAATGAGTAGTATGACGAGCTGAGCCGATTTAGTATGCCCGTCTGTACGTCCGTCCGTCTGTCTGTACCTACGCAAACTAGTCCCTCAGTATTAGTGATATTGATCTAAAATTTTGCACATGTCCTTTTCTCTTCAAGAGATCATTTGCTCATTTTTTGGAACCGCCGATATCTAATCACTATAACATATAGCTGCCATATAAACTGAACGATAAGAATTAAGTGCTTGTGCGGAAAATATTTCCATTTAACGAGATATTTTTATCAAATTTGGCCTGGATTATTGTCTAAGACAATAATGTAATCTCCGAAGAAATTGTCCAGATCGGATCACTATAGCGTATAGCTGCCCAACAGACCGATTAAAATCAAATTCTTCTAAGGCATATTTTGTATTTGTGAATGCTGGTTTAGCTCCGGTGCAACCGAAGAAAACGTGTTTTTTGGTTTAAAACTTTATTTAAGCACGAAAGCAATTTTGACTCATTGTAGGTTCCATATAAAGAACACAGGGACATCTTTTCTCTACGATTTCAACAATGATTTTAATAATATGTCATACGGATCTTTTGGGACTTACAATTAGTTCCATATCTCATTTAAACCATTCCATTTATAAAAAAGGCAGCCGAATTTTACTATTACGTAATTCAATGGCCAATTCTTTTGATAGGGTCGCACTTGGATTACTATATACAGTTCTTTGTGAAGCCAGAAAATATAAACAAGATCTTATAAGTCAACAAACCGCCTTGAGGCCAATATAAATCTGCTTAAGCATTGTGTTTCCAAATGTTTGGTTTTTCAATTCCAGATGATCCAGTTCTGAGATATAGTGGTCACCGCTCGGAGCTCCCGGAGATCAGCTGTAGCTCTTTTCCAAATAAATAATTTTACTAGTACTTAGTCTTAAAATATAGTTAAAAGATACTTAAATATGTGTATAAATTTTTGGATCAATAGTTTTAAAAGTTTTCTTAGAAAAATATCTGGAAAATTCACTTTTCTTCGACCTGTTAACTGTATATAACCCCTTATAACGAAGTAACTCGATCCCGTTGAGTAGGCTAGCCATTTCTTAATTAGCGTTGGCACGATATGGTAGATTTAGATTTTATATTAATTTATTTTTGTCAAAAAAGTTTCATAGCTTATTTTTAGATGCGATCTATGCTCCAATGGTATCGTAGCTAACTTATTGTTGAATAATTTATGAGCAATCTCCACTAAGGATCATAGAGCTCCATCTAAAAGCTCCTGTTTTAAAAATAAACCCAATTTTGCTATTATGGAAAGAAACCGAATTACAATAAAATTCTTTATCAAATTAAAGTTGCGCGGAGGGACACTCAAAAATCAGTTCCACTATATCCTGATCATAATATGTTACCCCACTAATGTCTCCAAGGTTGTTTCGAGATGGCAATATTCTGTGTTCAAAATATCGGATGATGTTCTTCTGTTACGATACTTTATAACCATTCTTAATGTTCTTATCTTAAACACACTTAACAATACAAACCGAGTGAGTTGACACATTAACATAGCAGTGAGTGTTGTCCATACTAACTTGTGGGTGTCATATAGAACCAATTGCTTGTTTATATTTTGTAACGAAGCTTTTTGCTGCCACTGCTTCTTGTGATTTGCTGAGGTATACTCGCCGTGTCCAAGGTTCGTTACAATAAATTTGTAAACTGTGGAGCTCTTTTTACAAATCGTACTTTATTAAATTTCCGTACAAAATGGTGTCTTCCGCGTTGTAGTGGCGTCACCCGATGATAGCGCTATGGCGTGCGTTGACGCTCGTGGCTGCTACGAAGACGACGCTCAGATGTTTCTGCCGGTGCTCGTGTAGGCTTAGGTGACGATGTCCTCCTGCGTGCGCTGTAGTCTTCGATTCCGATTCTGACTCCGCTCGTGCAGAGGATTAACTCACTACCGAGCTCACCCTTAACGAACAGCGTTTACAACATAAGGCACTAGGACTAGCCAGAGGATCCACTCACTGCTGAGTCTAGTGCCATGCGTGTGATCGCTGTTACCAAGGATAAAATGATCCGAAACTCTTTGATTTGAGAGAGCGCTGTCAAAGTCCACATTTTTTATAACATTTGACAGTGGTGCCATTAAGGAAAGAAATAAGTTTTGAGATTTTTAAATGTATTTCATGGGTATTTTTCGGTTTCCATTTTACAGAAAAATATACATAATTAAAATTATTTTAACAAGCTAGATATCCTATATGACTTCTAAATATAAGTACATGTATATTTTAATCACAAAAGATTTTCAAAATTAACGTTTAAAACTAAATTTAACAAAATATTTTAATATTTCAAAACACACAAGTTTTAACCTAAACATGATTCTTATTTCTTTTTTATATACTCAATTAACAAATATCTCTTGATAATTTATTCGTAATTACATAACATTTGCTTGGAATTCTAACCAAAATAGGTATATACGTTATCAATTAGTACTGCTAAGCAAAAGAATACTCTGCGACAAAATACCGCTTTTTCTTAAAAACAAAACTATATTAAATCTCTTTAAATAAAGATAACAAATATACGTAAAAGTCAACAAAAAATCTGATCTCACGAATTACCCACTGATTTCGCAATTTATTTCTGCGGGATTCTTAGTGGTAGTTCATTGTTTTGCTTGTCATCTGTTCAGTAACTCATGAACTCGTGGTTTTTCTTGGCAGCACTGAAAGTTCATGAGCTCTCTCAGAAGGCAAAGAGAGGAGTTTCGGATCATTTTATCTATGGTTTACGTGGCGTGATTTTAGCGTATCGTGTATAAGCGCTTGCTATGTTTCGTTTTCCTTCTTCATGTATACCTTTCTATGTTGTATTTGTTTAACAGGGTGCGTCTTCATGCGTTGTGTGGGCTAAATTCCGTATGGATATTTAGTTCTCACAATTTTATTTGCATTTAATTGCAATATTTAAGTTGCAATTAATCCTCAAAATAACTATCTTTCATTTAATCTGCTGTTTACACTCAATTAGCATTCAATCAGTTGCTTCGTTTACTGCCATTTTACTATTGACAATATGTCTTCGTAAAACTGTTGACTTGTCTTTGTTGTCTTTCCAATTACACATACATACATATGTATCAGCAAAATGTAACCATTCAGCCGATTAAAGCCACAATAAACCAGATTTACTTATATCAACAAATTGCATTTATTTGAATGTCTTAACTTCAAATACGAACAAGTAAGGAAGTTCTAAGTTCGGGTGAAACCGAACATTTTATACTCTCGCAACTTGCAAGGATCAAAGCCTTGGAAATTCCTTCAGGTGTTGGCAAAATATTAAAGGAAGTATTGATACGATTCAACCCATTTTTGACATAAAGACATACTATTATCGAGAGTTTAATTTTAATTATATATTTTACATATTGACCGATATTTTCGGTAAAAAGTCAACTATAGGCACTTAGGTCCACAATATCAGTACCTAGAGGCTTGAACAGTTTTGGTTAGATTTAGACAATTTTTGGTCACATTGTTGCTTGATTTGCATAGTGGGAAGTAAAAGAATCACATGGAATTTAAAATGATTTCGCACTATAATATAGAAATATGAGAAGAATGTTATTTACCGAATTTGGTTGAATTCGGTTAAGCAGATCCCAAGATATGGGTTTTCACCTAAAAGTAGGCGGTGCCATGGTCACTGTCTCATTTTGAACGCGCTTCCTACAAAGTCATCTCATACCATCCCAGAGACCATGCCCACTTTAAAATTTTTTTTAGCTGGAGATGCCCCTCCCTAATGAGATCCTGTATACCAAATAAGAGTCTTATATCTTTTTGTAAAACTTTGTTGTTGCAATTTATTTGTTTTTGATTAATGGCGGTTTGTGGACGGGGCAGTAGTCTGATTACACCCATCTGCATCCGAACCGTCTTAAGGTACCAAGAAACACTTCGTCTTTTCATCCTGATCATTTATATATATATATATATACCCTATAACTAACTAACAACCGTAAGATTAACAAAACTATTATACTCT